TCACCGCATAATCAAAGGTACTGATGTATAAGGGTGGGGCGTGTTCTCCGGTGAACATCTTTGATTTATAGGAATAACTGAACGTATTTTTCACAATACGTTATCTTTTCGAAAGTATTTTCCAACAAAAAGGATATATGACTTCAGTCATGACAGGGGGCATGGCTTCCTGACCTCCCCCTGGATTCACCCTTTACAGTGTAAACTAAAATATGAAAAGTACTTGAAAGTGCTATTACGAGAGGACATATAAAATGGTCTTCCTGAGTCACTCTCCGTGACGRCACGAATAATTAAAAACAAATCAAATATAGAGTCTGAGATGAAAAGCTTTGGTCGTATTGGTGTCCGCTGTAAGACGAATACCATCAAAGAATTGCAAGTTGCGCGATTGAGCGACAAGTTAGAAGTTTGCATCTTTCGACCTCGGTATTACTGTGCCTAAKTACATTATAAACACACTACGATTTTTTTTCATATGCATTAAAAGATTAAAGTATTTATAGCATCATTTTGTACACATGCACGATCTTGAGTATTAAAGTTAAAAAAGACCAAAAACTCTTATTGTATAATGTATGAGTGGTAACTATAACTTATTTATAAAAGATATGGTAATTTCCATCAATTCATCAAAACCAATACAACGGCTAAAGTCAGCAACCATTAAACGCGCAGCGAGCAGTCTATTTTGCCATAAAGATTTTAAGTCTTTGCAGGTTTTTTGAAAAATTGGCAATAAATAGTACTTTTATTGTGTCGAACACTGAATTTACATATTTAATAAGTCTATTTGCTGTTCATATTGAAACCTTTTGTATGAAAACTTGATAATATTGACCAACTTATATTAACTGATTTAAGTTAACTAGTTCTGTCAACACACCGCCGATAAAATCCTTTAATTGATCTTATTAACAGCTGGTAAAAGGCTCACTTGATATGGAAATCGAAGCAAATCACGAACGACCCTTCCTTTTGCAGGACTTGTACAAACTTTATTGTACTTTGTGGAGTCTTTGTCAGTTATATTAATGAAAGTGATTATATTGATTTTCATATCTCGTTTTAAAGAGTTTTTGTGTTCTTAAAGTCCTTTTCAATAAGAGTATTTGTTATATTGTCTGGCTAAGACTTAGAAATTATTATTACTTTGCTTATGTGGTAAATAKCCAAACAATAGCTATCATAACCACCATTTATATGTGACCACATCACCTAAGGCAATGTATGATGCACTATATCTTGACTTGTTTTCCTTTTTTGTCGCATAGATTCATACCTTCTCAATTTTGCTTATGTTACTAGAGCTGTTATTCGTAGTTTATACCATTTTTGTTGATATAAGTATAAATAGCTTATATTCAATAAGCTGTTTTGAAGAACAAACGGCTTTCTTTTGAATGTTTAGAAAACTCMTCTTGTAATAGACTGTAAATTTCGTGTTAAATGTTAGTATACTATTTGCATGCTATCGTTCTATGAAAAAACGAGACACAAAAACGACGCACGTCTCTTGCTGCTTCGATGGACTTAATACTGTTGATTTAACAGGCTGAGTATCCTAGTGTAAACCAAAGTATRTAAGTAATGAACTTACCAGGTACTACCAAAGTGCTGTACCTCTTTCTCGAATTGGTCTATATCAAATCAATCTAGATGCACCTTAATTCGCTGCTAAAGGAGATGAAGAGGTATTAGTGCTACTTCGTACACCAAACAAATTAATATGGAAAAATGCTCTAATCACGCAAGTGGTTMTCGAGAAGTCATGCATAAGAGTAAAACAAAAGCTGCAAGCTACAATAGGTTTGGAAATCATATCTGATCTCTTAAGGCTTGATAAGAAAYACAACTAACTATGAAAAATAATGTAGTAAGGGATGTAAATTAGTTCATGTGAGCGTTAGAAATAATTGTGTATGTCGTGTTGGTGGACAGTGCCTGTCACGACTGAGATAAATCTCGTTGACCCCTAAAGGTTTTTACTATTGGAGCATATCGTAGTCCGTCCTAAAATTCTGTGTTACTCGAAACAGTTRCTGAGTGACAGGGGAAGAAAGGGGAAAGAGGGGCTAATAATCACATTTATTAGGGGCGGATYCAAATTTTTTGAGAGGGGGTGGGCAAATATATACATTTTGCGTTGATCTGTACGTCACATACAGGTCACATGAATATGTATCTTTATATGTATTTAAGCAGGACTTTTCCAAAGGGAAACACTCCGGTTTCATGTCTTCAATGTTCAAATGAAACGGGGAATTGGAGGCATGAGCATRAACTTATCTACTGTATTGAACCCGAGTAAACGCTCTAAAAGCGTCTAGTTTATTTCATTGATTGCGATGGTTGGTTTTCAATGTGCATTTCCATTTGTCCATAATTGATTGTTTATTTGTTTCTATAGATGAGCAATGATTCAGCAAAGACAGATGAAAAAAGTAAGTATTTGAAAAGCATTGCAGTCAAAATGTTTTTTTTACAGTAAAATGTATTATCCAATATCGTCTAATTTCGTTCCCCTGTGCGTCAGCGGCAGCGCCCTTCAGTACGTTTAGGCGTTCTACATGAAATGTCTTCTAYTGCAACAGAGGTCTCTAGTAGTTCGTGTTATCGTATCCTTATTTTTGTATGTCAGTATATAGAAATAGAAGTACGCAAGCGCATTTTCTGTCGACAAAAACTCGAGAGAGAAAAAGAAAGAAAAAAAAATTCCGCCGTCTTTGAGAGTGTCCTTAGTCTTTCCGTTCCATTTTTTAGAGGAAAATGGTAAGAAAGGAAAAGAAGASGACAAACACCCTGATACTAAGCCACCCGAATTCTACATTAAGGTAAGTACTCTCTATCACTTCAGAATTATCAAAATGTGAATTTTCATATTGTTAGTTTAAAAAACGACGCATAGAAAAGATCAGATTGTAACAGACTAGAAGATAACTGTGTGTATTCATTGCTGATGGCAATAGGTAACAGTCGGTATGAGTGTAGTACTCGTCTCGGGGAAAGAAATTAGTCAAAAAGAAATCTCGGCGGATTTTTAAAAATCCTTTTCTACTACAATTTTCTCCGTCTCGGACTCTCGTCTTGAATATCATGCTATAAAAACGATTATAATCTTTCAGCTGATTTTCTCTAAATTATGACCATTCACGAAAAAATCTAAAATCTTGTCATGATTGTGCGCAAGTATCGCTAAGAGCACGTATTTGTAATTAGATGTTGGTCATTCTCTTTCGGTCKTTCATTTTCCAATCCTGCGTCTTTTACAAAAAAGTGCACACAAAATGAAACTTTTCGATTTCTTGCACTTGAGTTTTGTTGTGCGAACCACTGGATCTACTGACCAGGTTGAACGTTAATCTGCGGGAGCTTCAAAGGTTACTTTTTCAGGAACCAAAAACCATAAWAGAGTCGCTTGCTATCTTTCAAGACGATCCCTTGGTGGGGGAGCCGGGTGAGAGTTATCTGTACACGACCCATGGATACACGCTGATTAGTGCTGTGGTTGAATCGGCTGCAAAACAAGACTTCTTGTCTTACATGAAGACGATTTTTAAACAAATGGAAATGAACAGCACCGGACCTGAAATGAACGATAAAATAACATATAATAGAGCAAGGTAAGTCAAAAATAAAGAATGATGACTCTGGAATCCGAAGGTTAATCCTGGGATCCAATATCCAGACTTTCAATAATTTGATATCCACAAAACGTTTCAAATGTGGAATTCGAAATACGAATACAATTCAATCCAAGCTTCTAGGATCTGGAATCTCTGCCAGTTCCAAAATGCCTTGCATGGAGGGTTTAGCATGTGATTATTTATGATTCTACTTATATCTCAATTTTCTTGGTGCGATTATCACCAGGCATTATGACCGTGGTAAGAAAAATGGCTTGGTTAACACACCGTATGTTGATAACTCATACAAGTGGGCTGGAGGAGGATTTGTTTCTACHGTTGAAGACCTTATTAAGTTTGGCAATGCCATGTTGTATGCTTACCAAGTTAAGGATGATTATGAAGGTGACAAGGTATTATTGCCTGGTGAGTTTGATAGTATTTTTTGACTTTTTTTATTTTATTTTCTCCCTTTCCTTATCTCTCTTTCCTTTATTCTTGTCATTCTTCCTTTCATTTTTCTCGCAAATTCCTTTCTTTCTTTTTTTTTTAATTTAATTTAATTTCAATTCTTTTCTTTTTTTATTTTGTTTATCATTTGTAGGAATTGTGAAGCCAGAAACAATACAAGAAATGTTCAAACGAGTGGATAAAAATGAAGGCATTGCACATAAGAATGGCTGGTATGGWTGGGGTTGGCATGTAATACCACAGAAGCAATCTTATGGAGCATGTCAAAAACAGAGGGAGACTATTTACCACACAGGTATGTTTGACTTGTTGACTTGTTTGGWGTAAACATGGACTTGTTGTTGGTTGCTGTGATCATTGCTGTTATCAGTTGATTATTAATTAAACGAAGAATTAACAAACAAACAAAACAAACTAGTGATAGAACCATACGTTTTTCCTTCTGCAGGATCGGCTGCTGGAGCATTGTCTATACTTCTTTTGCGACCTGATAGTCATAGAGATGTCTCTACCCTACCCCCCAAGGGAATTGTAGTGTCAATTATCATGAATATACAGACTATTTCCAAAAGCTTGCTGGTAACAGCTGACCATRTTGCAGATATATTTGAAAAGAACCTCCAGTCTGGGCAAGATGGTATACAATAATTTGCAATTTCACAATTTTGCTTCTTTTTTAGAAATTTTATCAGAGATCCAAATTACCCAAATAGTGAAATATAATGACATGACCAGTCTAACTGGTCACCTCTGACTCAAGATTTTTTACGCCTTTTTCATGTTCTCCCAACATCCCATGTGTTTTATTTCACCAGGAACGTATGGAAATGTGTTGTTTATTGTTAAAGTATTCCTTAGGGGTAAATTCAACAGTAATCTTTCAATGTTCACTCGTCATTATTTTATTTGAGAGGTTTTCAAATATTGAAGACAATCATACAACATGTCTAAAAATAAAACTCTTAATATTTTAAATAACAAAGTGACCTGGAAAGGATGGTATTTTACAGGGTTCTCGGTAGAAATTAAAGTATACGTCAAAATAGGAAAAGTAGTCATCAAAACAGCCAAATAATTTGCGAATAAATTYGTAAGTAGCAGGCGATAACTAAGCTATATAACTGGCRGTTTTCACTGCACGCCAGCTTCCACTGAGAACCCTGATTTTATGGGTTTTAATAATACAGTAAGTTTTCACCTTACTGTCTTGAATAGCCCTTTTCATGGTTAGAAAACAAGTTGCGTGAGAAGTCTGTGGTTTTGAATAATTTTGGAACAGAACAAATGAGTGCAAACACAGAACGCATRAAATAGTTTAACTRATGATATAMYTTTYMWTTWAAAMYKGGSMRSCMWWMCMAWYCMRKTTTYC